CCACCATTGCAAGTGTAATTCGTTGGCAACGCTCGAAATGTGTCTAGAATACATTCTTCAACGTAAGCAATAAGAAAAGGGCAATCGTCATCATCCGATTTCGTCTGGTATAGGCCATGCATCCGACCTCCACTCAAAGTTGCAGAATCGATTGAAAGGTGTTATATGATCATGACCAGTTGACAGAAACTGCATTGTAGTAAACACATTTCGTAACTCCTATAACCTAAGGAACAGCTTCATTTGCCCAGGGTTTTCCTTCACTATTGCCTTTTTGCGACAGCGTCTCACAACAGTGTCAATTCTCAACGAAGTATTAGGTTGGAAAGAAAGTTCTGCAACACTCTTTCTAAAATTTTCTTTTTTTCTGAAAAATTCATAGGTAACATTTATGACTAACAAATGGTAGAGCATTCTCGAGGCTTTAATCCACGAGGTGGATATAAGTGCTGCAGTCAGTAGTTATCCAAGAAAATTCAAAAAACCTCGACCACTAGTAAATCCGTACTCCGAGTCACTGTCTAGTACAAATGTCTCCATAACTATGGATTCGTGTCAAAGACCAACACTATCTGCAATAGCTTCAATAGGCCTGTCAATGACAACCGTCAACCGTCCGTTGGACAAAGTCCAACGCATGGCTCTCTAGCGTGTGAGAGTAATGCCGAGAGTGAACGTACGCACGGAGACACAGACGGCTCGCGCAAGGCGAGTGCCGGCGCGGAGAGCGGTCAACGTCGGTCCAATGTCGGTCCAACGTAACGGTTGACCCTGCCTGTCATTCACCGCTACACCTTTACCAGCGCTTCCGATCTTTTGATATTTTTATAAGAAGCCAGCAGCGTCCCTCACACTCCATTACAGGTAGGGCTCTTACGGAAGCTCCACTACAAATTCTTCGTTATGGGCACCATTGTGTAGGTAGAGGTCTAGGCTGCGGAACTCCAGAAGCTGGCCGAGGCAGCTCGTCAGAGCCCTCGTACCGCGACAATATTTATTTCTTTCATGACATTGCGAATCACCATGATCCGAAATGAGCCCGGTAAGAAATTCTGGAGCTGCGGCAAGATTTCTTACCTCTCTTAGCGTATTCCCCTGGTCGAGCTATAAATGACTGCCACCTATCCTGGACCTTAAATCATCATCTTGATGACGAAATAATTAGACGATCAACTCCAACTTGGAAGTGTTCAAGTGTTTTTGAAGATTCTCACTTTTTTATATATAATTATTTTTTTCCACACGCGTTTACCTGTGTAATAAACAAAGTATATTGAGAAATTCAAAAGTTACGACATTTCAGCAATATGCTGAATTATTATGGCCGACGCGAAGAGAACGCAGTTCGCGTGTTGTTACGCATTTGATGTTTGTGAGGCTATTCAACGAGTATGGCACGATACGGCCGTGCAAAAGATCTACGAAAAGGAGGAGTGAAATCAACCTCAACGACAGTTCCAAATAGTAAGCCCAGTCAATTAAGTTACAGTACCCAGAATTACTGCGTTTATGAACGACATCCTTAGGCCAACCTGATTCACCTTTTCGAGCCCTCTCGCATCAGTACCCTGAGTGATGACCAACTCTTTTTGCGCACTTCGAAACACTTGAAAAAAAGTTCACCGGAACCTGAATGAATAGATGATGCAATACAGTAACCGTGTGCTCTAAGAGAAACGATGCCTGAAAGTGGTGGCAGATTTCGAGAGATACGGTGAACGCATGCTTGGAGCAGACTCCAGAGTGAATTGATGGTCAATGAAATCCTCGATCATGGCGGTGTACTGAGTAGTTCTGAGAGTGAACGTACGCGCAGAGGGCACAGACGGTCCTCGTATGGCGAGTGTGAATGTCGCGGCGGACGGACGCGGGAGGACATAACTGCTCAGGCAACTTCCTCGACGTACCGTATATGAATTTTCGACCGATATTCACCCTGGAAGACTCACTGAACGCTGGAGGGTGTAGTGGTAGTCACCGCCCCATATGATGCCCTTCCGCCAATCACGTTCAATGACGTCACCAAAGTCGCTCCACCCACCAGCTGTCGCTTTCACTGCCATTATATACTAAATTTATTGATATTTGTTGTTTAGTTTTCTGGAAAACTTGGCATCAATAAATACGCTCGACTTCACGCCAACTCCCCGTGATCTGATCATGAGCTATGTGCCAACGGTCGGAGTGCAAAACGTCATTTTCTCCGTGGACAACCATGTGTTCCAGTAAGTGCAAATTTGTATTTTACTCTGACTACTGACTGCAAGCGACAATAACGCACACGCCTTAAATAAATCCCTTGTGGTATTTATATAATGAGGAATATATATCGGTTCTTGTGCTTACCAGTCACAGAATTCCCATTCCTGATTTTACGGCTTCGTCAATTTGATCTTGCGCGATGTTGTTTTCGCCCTGCACGATTTGCTTGGGTCGATTCAAGCGAGTGAAAAGGGAAGTTCATATGACGCAAGGTTTTCGGTTGGGATTTCGTAAGATTGACCTATCTACTTCCACAAAGTAAGAGTGTGATTTCTTGCTGCGGTAAACCACTTCAAAATTCTGGCTCACACTTTCCTTGGTAGGGAGAAGCTCCCATTCAAGGACAGCATTGTTTGCCGTGGTTTGCAAAAGATTAGACTCTAGCAAATTACTTTCAGTGTTAAAAGCGTTCTCCAGAAAACATACGTTTCAAGATGGCATTGAATTTTGCAGATTATTCGACATTGGTGGCCAAAGAATTGATCGTCGGAAATGGGCGACAATGTACGATGGTATCAGTGCTATCTTCTTCTGTATCGCAATTTCGGAATACGACCAGATGATGGACGAAGATCCGGAAATGGTAATTATAATAAATCCACTCAACTCCTGCTTGTTGCTCATTGGCTTTCCTTCCTTCCAATGCAGGGCAACACCTTTGTGGCTGTCGGTTGCCTCGGTATGAAACTGGTTTGAAAAGCGCTGAGTAGTGATGAATGAGGTGGAATAATTTATAAGTGGAAAGGAAAGCAAGATGCAAAAATCACATGAATTTTAGATGGGCTTGCCTTCACGAAGATTGTTCGCCGGCCATGAATAGAACTTTAAGAGCATGCTGAAGCAAAGCGAGCAAGAGAGTAAAATTTTCTTCAACTTTTTCGGCTATCAGATTCATGACTCATTTTTTTTAACAACACTGTCGTCACCTCAGTTTTCGGTTAGGTTGAATCAGTTTGACAATTAACCCTTTGACGACAATTGCACCTACCGGTGGGTGCCATTATGTTCCCGCGTGGGACAATGGCACCCAATGGTGGGTGCCACCTTAAAATTTCTTCTTTGCGCATTCAAAACATTTGTAGAACCCACTAATTAAATATAAGCAAGTCTCATAGTATCTATAACACGCGCGCCAGCACTACAGCAACACTGTTTCACTTACACCCTAAATTTATGCTAGAATTTTATAAGGTAGACGCTTTAGCTTGCCAGCTATTAAAGGCACAACCCAGGCAGAGGTCGTGTGAACTCTTCTCTTCGGTCAGAAGTATAGAACCCTAGGGGACAATCACAAATGTGGCGTTCACGTGCACGGAATTCGACCGACAAGAACGCTTTGGGCTTGCAAAGTAAGCTGCTCGAGCTGCAGCGAACGAGCTCTCTTATCAGGCCGTTGTCTGGTGCTCTCTCATCTGATGCGCTCTCTCGCCCCATACTCTCCTCTTCGCGCTTAGTCTCTCGTTCCTTTAGCACAGCCAATTAGGAAGGTGAGTGAGCCCTCAACCTGAGCGTTTTCGACGGATTCTTTTCCTTTTTTCTTCACTGCCGGCCCACTTGGCACCGATACATTCACATTCGTGTGCAAGAGCCACACCAGTGCGATCCTGGGGCATGCCTTTAATTATTTGTATTATTGGCTTGAATATT